CTAAGCCCATGCACCACAACTACTGAGCCCACATACCACAGCTACTGAGCCCGTGTGCCACAACTACTGAAGCCCACGCACGTAGAGCCCGTGCTCTGCAACAAGAGAAGCCACTGCAATGAGAAGTCTGCGCACCATGACGAAGAGTAGCCCCTGCTCACCATAACTAGAGAAAACCTGCGTGCAGCAATGAAGACCCACCGCAGCCAAAATTTAATTAATTAATTATTTTTTTTAAAAAAAAGAACAGACAATTTGTGCAAAGCCATGGGGACATGGAAAAGCATGATTTCTCTAAGTAACGGAACAAAGGTGTAGATTGGCCCAGCTGAGAACACGGCCGGAGTTAGCTGCCCTGAAGGGGTTCCCGCCCATCCTTCAACCCTGGTAATGGATCAAGCCATGTCACTGGACCGATCCTTCCCACACTAGTAGAAATGCAGTGCTTCCTGATGGTTTGGTAACCAGGCTCAACTCTTCCAAACAGTGTCACCGCATACAGCTGTGCACACTGTGCACTGCATGAGAAGAGCCCCATCGAAGTGGCACAAGCCACACAGCAGACGTCACAGATATACACACTCATTATGACGGTTTCCTGGAAGGGGTAGTAAAGTTTCTTTTTTCTAATAAAATCTGTATGTTATAACAATTTTCTGACAAATAGAAGTAAGGTATCTTAGGGAGGGGCATCTCTTCCTAATTCATTTAAATGTGTCCTATGAGCTAATGGTGGTAAGCTAGCTCTTACTGCTTTTCCCTCTTGCACTGTGCTGAAACCTATTCCAGCTGCACACCATGATCTTATTTGGCCTTTTCATGACTCAAATGCATTACATCAAACCTGCTTCAAGCAGGTAACGCTTTCTATTTCCTCCTATCCCATGTGATTCCCTACGTGGTCCATCGCTATCCCTCCTAGATTTGGATCGATCCACACTGTCTTCTGACTCACAACAGATCACTTTTCCCTCATTTTTTCCAGAACTCAAACACAGCCCTGGGCCTGCCTGTTGTCAGAACATAAGAGGTCCCAGGACCCAAAAAGACAGGAGGCCCCCAACCAGACACTGTATTCATGGAGCCCTCCCGATTCTGCCATATATTTCTGGAACGGCTCCAGAAGCCTCCTAAACATGAATTCTTAAAACTATCAATTTATATATTGCTCACATAGAAATATAAATCATGCTGAGCTGCAGTTGGCTCCAACTCCTTCAAAAGTCAGCCTTGGGTCTATTTAGACGTTAGTTAAATGGCCACCATAGCAAGCCCTGCTACAAAATGAGCTCTAAAGGGGCACATGGGTTCACCCTCAAAATCGTTCTAACTCTGTTCTATAAGAAACTTCCTAAAAAGCCTAGAAAAACATTGTGCAGAAAGGATACAAAGCTATTTTAGGAGGATGGCTACCTCTGCAGAGGGAAGACAGGCATGGGCTGCAGCAGGAGGTGAGCTGTTCTCTGTAACATTGTTATTTCTTTTTAACAAAACCTCAAACAAGATGGTGAAATCTTAGTGTGGTAAATGTGTGTGGTGGGTAGAGGATATCTGTTGCATTATCTTCTGCTTTTAATGTTTGAAATATACCATAATTAACATTTTAAAATGTAAAAAAAAAGGACATTTTTATGCACTTTGGCTGAAGACCATATTATAATTATTCACCAGAGAAGCTTTAGGGCATCCTTTGATGAACCCCAAATAATCAAGTTCTGACCTGGCCCTTCCTAGGCTCGGAGGGAAAGGTTCATGCATACAGCCGCAGGGGGGGACTTGGAGGGTCTCCCACCTCCAGCTGGACTGGTGCTGTCACAGCAAAGGGCAGTGCCAAGGCCGGGACGGTGCACAGTGCACCCAGTGGGCGTCGAAGTGGCCGTCCGTCCGTGCTTTTGCTTCCCACGTCCCCCCACCCCCATTGTCAGACTTTCACCAGTGTCAGCTTCTTTTCCCTTCTCTAAAGGAGGCGTGTTTTAAATGATGTATCTATTCTGCCACCTAGCCTTCAGCCGCATCACTACAACAAAGCTGCCTTAAAAGGCTCTTCTGCACAGACCTCAATCTTGCTGGATTTCCCTAACCTTGGCTGGGGGACCTGAGCGATTGGGTACTTTATTTCTTAAGGGTCACCGTACCTTAGATTTGGGCCAGGGTGAGATGGTAGCATTAGAATGCTCAATGTGAAAGGGTATTTTCCTTTGGGAAAGGGATTGGTCAATCTCAAAAGGGCTTTATAATGGAATAATAACTCACTGTGGGGAACAGTTTAGGCAAATCTGTCTAGAACAGTGGGGATAGCCATTCATAGGAGTGAATGAAGGCAAGACCCTTAGCTGACATTCTTCCTCTCCAACCAGAGGAATCCATGATATCTTATGTCTCATTAAAAGCCTTGCTTTCTCACATCAGGCATCATCCTGGCCTCAAAAACCAATTAGAAACTCATGGAAAATGACCAGAGGAAAGGACTCACGCTTTATAAAACACAAATGCTATGTACCCTTGGAAAAGTTGTCCATATAAAAGCACAAATCTTTACTGGGTTGCATTTCTTGAAATACGCAGTTAATCTTTTAAAGGAATGGAAAAGGGTGATCTCTGGGGAATTGGACACAAGTGGATGATATTTAACTTCTTACTCCTCCAAGAAAGATGTGGTTGAAAGGCATCAAAGCTGGAATATGCCAGAGTTAGGAAGCAGAGTTGGGAAACCTGTGGCAGAGAAAGAGGGAAGGGACCCCGGCCTCTGACGTTTGAATGTGGCAGGCATAAGTGAGCCACCCCCCAGCCCCCAAACTAAATTCACTGACGCAAGCTACTTTTTTTCTGGAAGCAATCTTCTAAAGGTGACTGTGAACAGATATGGGGCTTCAGAACAAAGGGGAGGGGGAAATGGAATACAGAAAGGCTCCTAGGCACCCTCCATAATCCAACATCCTGGAACAGACCTTCCCACTCTGCCGTCAGACGTTAATTATGGGCTCTTAGGGGCAAACCCATCCAGCCAGGAGCCCATCTTTGGACCGAATTACCATAGACAATCCCAGGCTACTGAGCGTTCTTTCTCTCTTAAGCCCTCGCAGGGAGCCTACCTGAGCTCCCATCAGCCAGCTCTCAACCCCTCATGACATAAGCCCGTCTCTAAGTGGAAATACAGACAGTCACTTAATGTCTACAGACTTACAGAGTACCCCCTCTCCCCGGCTCCCTGCCACCAGACCCCATGGACCAGCTCTGGCTTCCTTTCTCTCTACCCTTTTCGTCTTCTCTATGAATCATCCCCCTCTCCCTTTTACCCGTCTTCACACATTTTATTTTCCAGCCACTGGAAGTCGGCTAGACAAAAAGACGTGTCACTGAGGCCGTCTCCCTCAGAATAGAGGGTGGCTGGAACTAGGCAACTCATGTTTCTCTGGAAGGAGCGCCACAATCTCCCCATTCATCTGAAATGCTACCACTGTGCCTTAGCCGGCTCTGCTGCGGAGTGGCTGCAGAAATAGGATCAGGGGCTGGAACACACACGCCACGCTGTCCGCACTTGACACAAAGGGGAAAGTAATACGTGATCTCCCTCACTCTTCAAATATTCCAACCAGAGTTTTGAATATTAATTTTGTGCCTACCTTACCGAGCCCCAGACAGAGGAGAAGCAATGTTAACGAGCCTTGCTTTTTTTTTTTTTAATCATTACACACAGCTCCTCGTCTCTCAGCCAACACCTAAAGCCCCTCTGGCGATACGAACAAAAGCACAACTTTAAACTTTTGCCTTGACTTTTAAACGTGCCTTTCGGCAAGTAGATAAGTGGGAAGAGAGATCAGGATCTGGGGGTGTTAACAGCATAGAGCGAGATGCTTCTGAACCAAACTGGCAAGAGAAATATTTTCTTCAAAGCAGCCCTACAGAAGGAATTCTTATCATAGATGAGGGTGCAGTCTAGTGGCAAACTTCATGAAATGCAGCCCCTTCTCCAAAGGGAAGTTAGAGCACTTCCAGAGGGACGAAGAGAAATGTAAAGGGGTGACAGTCCCACCGCAAGTTCCCCCAAGGGGGGCAGCAACAGTGGCCCAGCTCTCTCTCATCTGGCTCTGAAGTCTACGACCCACCCATGCCAAGTGCAGGAGAAAACGACAAGCCCCACCTTCATTCTTTGAAGACTTCAGCTCTCTTTCGTTTTACTTAGGAAAGAAGGGTCCTTAGGGTCCCCATAGATCACATGAGGTTCCAAAAGGGATAACAGTGTTCCTGGTCGGGATTGGCAAGTCCAGTGGTGACGTCGGCTCCGATTCCTGGGCTGTGCCTGCTGGCACCAGTGTCCCTCATAACAGGGGGTCCCTCTGGTTTGTCACCCAGTCCCTCCAGGGATGCGGCCCTGACCAGTGGAAATACCCCTTTCAAAGAACCTGGAGGGGAAGGATGACTCCACTCTGCCTACCTTCCCTCTGACAACCCCACACCAGGACACTTCAGGCCTCCAGGCAAGATTTTCAGACCTAGCTTTCCTCCGCAGTGCCAGTCTCTGTAACTCACTGCTGCCTACAATGCTGCTGCTATGACTGTCCCTTCGAGCAAGTACACACACACACACACACACACACACACACACACACACACACAGCTGCCCGGGGCTAACAGTGTAACTGAAGGAAAGTGGCCACTTCTTCACCCTGTGACGAAAGACAGTCACTCCGCCAGCAACAGAAACACTACATTAAATCCCCTTCCCCAGATTTTTAGGGGGGAAATTCAGTTTTTCTTTTCTTTCTTTTTCTTTTCAGTCACCACCCATCACTGGCCACCCTACACTAACGCCCACCCCAACACATACATGCGAGAGAGAGAGACAGAGAGAGACAGACAGAGACAGAGAGAGACAGAGAGAGACAGAGAGACAGAGAGACAGAGACAGAGAGCGCGCGCGCGCGCGCGCGCGCGCACACACACACACACACACACACACACGTTACTTGGTCACTCAAAAACCAGCAGCCAGCCATTTCCCAAAGCTAAGGAAGAATTTCTTGGGCACTGTATATATCCAGTTGGCTAATAAGAAAATACTTCTCCCTCCAGCCTGGGCCTTGGCTAGTTAAGGGGTGGGAGGGACCGGGAGACGGGTTACTCCGTATTGTATCCACCGTGCTGCGAAGAACTCTCCTTCACTCGCCCCCCGCCTCCTGCCCGCTCTGGGCAGTCCGAGCCCCGTTCCCCGCGGCCCTTTCTCCACTCCGGGAGAGGAGGGCGCTGTTCGGGCGGCGAAGGGGAGCCCCCGTGTGTCTAGAAGGCCTCTCCCCACCCCCACCCCGTGTGAGTTTGTACTCCTTGGCATCCTTGCCTGGGTTGGGTGTTGGGGAGCTCAAATTGCAGCTACAAACTGGCTGGCAGCCAGGGGCCGTCTATTTAAAAGCGCCTGCTCGACCGGAGCCCGTAGTCTCTTTGGAAACTTCTGCCGGGGAAAAAGAGCTAGGAAAGAGCTGCAAAGCGGTGTGGGTTTTTTCCTTTTTTTTTGTTTCTTTTCTTTTTTTCCTCCTTTTCATCACCCCCTTCTCCGTTTGCACCCTGCTTCGGGCTTCACGCAGAACCTGCGAATTTCGAAGAGGTGCTGGCAGAGTGGGAGAAAAGAGGTGTTAGGGGCTTGGATTTGGTCTTTTTTTTTTTTTTCCTCTATTTCCACATTTTCCCCCCACCCTCGCGGCTGCAGCCTCCGCCTTTTACCTGTTCCGAGGCAGCCGCGCGCCGCTGGCAGCTGAGGGTTAGAAAGGAACCGGGTGCACTTTGAGATTTTAAACAATAATTTTGAAGACGAATCTATTTTTCTCCCCCCGCACCCCCTCCTCCACAGCCTCCGATCTCATTATTCCGGTGGTGGTTTTGGGGTGAATAATTTTTGGCCCCAGGGGTTGTTCTGACCAGGTCAGGCTTGGGGAGGGGTTGTTTCTCCCGCCTCCGATCCCTCTGCGTGCACCTGGCGCTGCTCTTTTTTCCCCTACCTGTTGCAAGTCCGTAATCTTTGCAACTGAGACTTGCTTGCAGGCACCCCAGCCCTCCATCGCTCCCTACATTTTGCAGTTGTCTGGCGGAGGCCACCTGCTCTACCTGCCAGAAATTTTCAAAAGAAAAAACAATTCTCCGCGCGCCCTCTTGGCCCCCTTCTCCCTTCATTCTCGCGCTCCTGCCCCGCCCCAGGTAAAGGGGGAGACTCGGAGAAGATGGTGCTCACCGCGGTCCTCCTGCTTCTGGCCGCCTGTGCGGGACCGGCCCAGGGCCTGGGCTCCTTCGTGCACTGTGAGCCCTGCGACGAGAAAGCCCTCTCCATGTGCCCCCCCAGCCCCCTGGGCTGTGAGCTGGTCAAGGAGCCGGGCTGCGGCTGCTGCATGACCTGCGCCCTGGCCGAGGGGCAGTCGTGCGGCGTCTATACTGAGCGCTGCGCCCAGGGGCTGCGCTGCCTCCCCCGGCAGGACGAGGAGAAGCCGCTGCATGCCCTGCTGCACGGCCGCGGGGTTTGCCTCAACGAAAAGAGCTACCGCGAGCAAGCCAAGATCGGTGAGCACGCTCAGTGTGCCAGGCAGCTATGCGGCGCACGGGCGGGGGACACGGCACAGGCTGGCCCGGCGCGCTCTGCCCAGCAAGTGGCTTAGAGCCTGGGTGCATCCCGGGAGGAGGGCGGGGAGGGTCCTTGCCCCTCGGGATTGGAACCCTGGCCGATCCTGACCCGGGTTACTGTCTAGCCGAGGCTCTCCCTGTTTTCGCTTCTTTTCCTCGCTCCTGCCCACACCTCCTCCACCCCACCCCTCCCCCCTCGACTAAACACTGACTCTAAGATCCTATTCGGTCTCCAGGTCCAAATCCCCAGGTACTGAATCTCCAGTCCGAAAATGTACACCTTACATTATTAACTCCCTCTCCACCACCCCCATCTACCCAATATGTTGTGGGGTGGGTTTGTTGGGTTTTTTTTTTTTTTTCCTGAACTTGAAAAAAAATAATGTCTTTTGTTAAAATATTGCTTTAACTGGGGACCTGGAGAGAGAGAGGCGTCACCGGTCTTCTGTGGTAATTACACCTTTGCCCTTCCCAGCCCCCTACCCACCCCCCCCAGTCCCTCCTTGACGTTTCTATTCTCCTACCCCACCAGACACACACGCACACTCACATGCACACATAACACACGCACGCACGCACGCACCCTTGGTAGCTAATGCCTTTTGGGTGGGGACTTCGATGCCCCTCCCACGTGCACACCCATTGCTCTTGACTCGATCGGATTGACCGTGGTCAATTATACAACATACTGAAATGCAAAATACCGTTTTTCCTCCCTGGAAGGGAAAGATTACTTTAGCCAAGCTCAGAGGCGGCGGGAAGGTGGTGAGGCGGTAAGTGGGGGAGGGCGGGAGTGATGGAAAGAGATAAGAAGGAAGGGTTTGGTGTTCCAGGGCTGGTGTTTGTCCCCGAATCTAACTCCTTTTCCCGTGCCCCAATTCAGATTTTACCTAGGAAGAAAGGTGGATACAGGGTTGGGAAGCCAGAAGAGGCATGAAATTCAGACATCACAGCTCCCCCGCCAGTGCTAATCGCCCACTCTCCCGCGTTGCCCCTCAAGCTCTCAAACCAGATCACAAGTGGGCGTGGTGTAAATGGAAGAGGGGCCCTGGAAACGCAGAATGCAAAATTAAGGGGGCGGAGACGGAAAAGCCAAGCTCCCGGAGCCTCCCCTCCGCCTCCAAGTAGCCCCGCCTCCGGGTTGCCCCGCCCCCAAAGTCTCAGTGCCAGGAGTCTCGGGCTTAAAAGATTGACAGAGCTCTACTTTTCAATCAGAACAGTTCTGCGCCCCTTAGACTGGGTTTCCTTTTGGAAAGTTACTTGATCTTAAATTTTTAGCAAAAGTTTAATGAACTCTACACAAGAGTCTGGGTTCTGAGACGTCGTTATCGGTCCTCTCCCAAAGGGGTTCAGACTTAGCTAAATAATGTTTATTCTGTGTAGTATTTTATTACTGGGACAATGCTCTTCTTACCTCCTATCCCCTTCCATTACGAGCACCCCAACGTGAGTTTTCTTAACTGCACACTACAGACACTGTCATGTAAGAAAGGAGTGCGTTGGCGCTTGAGAAGAGGCGGGAGACCTTTCCTGGGTTCGACCTGGATGCCCACAAACCCTGCAGGTTTTGCCTGTCGCAGGAGGCCGTCCCTCCAGCTTTGCAAGAGGTAGTCTTTCTCCAGACTGCAGCCTGCAAAAAGGGAGAGAGAGCAACGTGCAGGCCCCAGAGGCCCCAGAGGCCGGTTTGTGAAGTTATTTTTATTAAGAGCCACTTTTCAAAGGCGGTCCCCCTCGCCTTCATCTTGTGGGATGTGGATTTGGAAAAGCTTAGCACGGGGTGGGGGGTGGGGTATGAATCGATTTCCTGGCTTGGAAGCGAGCGCTCTGGGTAACAATCCGGTCACATCGAAAGCATACAAGCTATCGCTCAGCCGCCTTCTGGCCCCATTTTTATTTGCCCAACCGTATGGTTGGTGTGATGTGGTTGGTGTGGAGGTGCCCGCGCGCGCAGCTGCTGGGAGAGCAAACGGGCGCATCCAACTTTCCAGTTCAACCCAACACACACACACACACACACGCTTTTGTCCCAAGCAAGATGACTTTTAGACTTCTCTGCAGCCCCTTCCTCAGCCCCCACCTTCAAGGTGCCTCTGGACCAACACGGAGCAGCCTTCCTCCCCCTCCCGCATCCCCATCCCCATCCCTCTGGAAGACTCCACCCGCCTAAAGCAGGTGCCTAACCCACTGTAGTCGCTGGATGGCTGCCCTTGACCGGTGGCCGGAGTTGACGCCTTCCTCCCGGATGGATGGGATGGGAGTGGGCTCTCCTGGCTAGAGCTTTTCAGCCCGAAAACCACTGGGTGGGTCCCCCAAAAGTTGGAGATGGTGCAGCGACGGTACTTAAAGTAAGCTCAACAAACAGAGAGAGGGAGGAGAGTGTCAGCTCCTTTAGGCAAAATTACTGCCCCCTGACACTCCACCACCACTCCTCCCTACCGATACCAGCAGTGCGAACTTGGATTTGCCCCAAATTTAGATACAGACATAGATGATAATATACATATGTACATATATCAAAAAATATATGGAGAGAGAGAGATTTAGGGGGGTTTTCCAACCAAAAAAAAAAAGTGCATTTCTAGAATCAGAAATGGGGAGCTGAGGAGAGCGAGATGGCAGGCAGCCAAAGCTTCTGGGAGGAAGAGCGGAGGGCGGGAGGGGACTGGTGTTTTGCTAGGTGCGTTGCTGAGCAACGGGAGAGGGCGTCCGCCCGCGAGCCTGGTGCCGGGAGCGCTCCAGGCCCTGCATTTTATTCTGGCCAGTTCAGGGGCAAAGATAGATATAGAAACAGAGGGCAATGTGAGGGAGGGCTAGAGGGAGGCGGGAGACAGGAGTTATTTATTGGACCGAGCTCAATAAATATGGGCGAGCTGGGTCGAGTCAAGGAAGGACCGAGCTTTGCTCTCAGCTTTGTTTGGAGAAGGAGCCTTGCGGCTTTACTGGCGCACATACTTGCCCGGGTCTGGAAGATCTCTCTTGTGCCTGTGAGATATTAAGTTTGGGATACAGGGAGAAGTGGGTTCTGGGTTTCAGTTCTGTCATTTAGAAATAAGAGAGGAAGAACAGAAAATATGCTTCTGGGAAAGAAAGAAAAATTACCTAAATAAAAATGAATTCCGCCTTTGCTTCTTTGAGGGGTTTGGCCCTCCAGCACCCTGGCTTCCATTCTCAGCCTGGTCCAAATGCCATGTTGAAATCAAGTTCCAGAGTTAGGTTTATTGGCCAAATTTTTGTCTGGGTTGAACAAGATCACGGAAAACTGAAGGAGACAGATTCCTTTCCCACCCGTATCCCCTCCCTTTGAAACAAGTCTTTAAGAGGCTGGCTGTGCCCTGAGCCAACCAAAATGGGAGCTGGGAAGACAAGAGAGGGTGCTTTTAACTTGACTTTTCTTGCCTTCCCCCTCCCCTCCCTTCCCCCTCTTTCTGCTTTGTCAGTTCAGACTGGAAGAGCAAGCACAGTTGGCCACAGTGAGAGCTCATTTTCTTTCCACTTCTCCCCCTACCCTCCCCACCTCCACCCTGACCCCTTTCTTATCCCTCCCTCCCATCCCACCCCCTTCTCCATGCCCCAACTCCAAGGCCTTCCCCTGAGGGCTTCAGTTTTAACTTGGAGCAGCTGTGCGTTAGTCCTGGGGCTTGGATTGGATTTGAGCAGGCAGGTGGGCTTGCAGCTGCAGAGGGGGGACCAGCCTGACCTAGGAGCCAGAGGTCACCATGAGGGTCACGGCAAAGGGCATGGGAGCAGGAATCCCAGCAGAAACCCTGGTCCCCTTAATGGGGAAGGGGGGGGTGGGGTAAGGGGGAAGGTGCTAACAGGAAAAGAAGGTGATTTTTGTTATCTAAAGTTTTTACTTTGTACCTGAGCAGTGTCTTTGAAACTCAGTTATTTAATGTATGGAAAATAAAATTTTGGAGAAGGGCCACCACACTCCAGGTCTATTGCCTCCAGAAATTGGAAGAACACCGTAAACAGACCAGGTACCAATGAGGTCCCACTGGAAGCAGAAGTGAAGAGGGAGGAGGCTGTTTGGTGAGCTTTTGTTTGAGATTTTGTTTTGCATTTTTACTATGGTAGGTCCAAAAGTTGCAACCCCCAGAGACCATCCTTCAAATGTAATCTGGACATATGTTTTCCAAAAAATAAGATTTATTACATATCTGCAGGAAGAAATAAGCAAATTAAAAAAGCCAGTTCTAAGCTTCTGGTCCCCTCTCCCCATATCCACAGAATCCCCCATTCTTGTTTCAAGCTCCAATTCTTGCCATGATATCTGTTATGATGTCTTTTTTTTTTTTTTTTCCTTCTTAAATATAAATCCAGAGAAGTGACTGGAAATCTCTATGAGAGGCAAAGTAGCCTTTCCTGCCTGGCCACTCAACTTAGCTAGGTCCGAGAGTCTCTCCAGGAATTGTCTGGGTGTTGGCCAAAGAATGCTACAGCTGGAAGGAACCCGCAGTGATCATGGCATCATGGCAGTCAAGGCCCTCATTTTACAGATGAGGACTCTGAGGCCCTAAGTGCAAGTCACTAGCCCAGAATTAGGCGCAGGGTTAGAGGCAGAGCCAGGGTGAGAACTCAGCCTTAGAATCGTGTTGAGCCTAGGCCTCCATTCTGCTCTCCCTGGCTTTCTTCCTTAAGTCACTAGGTCTCTGGCCTCAGTCTGGTCTAACCTGCAATGAGGTCTTTGGCAAATATTACCCGAGGCTGTCATCCCATAGCTTTGGGGGCGGGGGGGGGGGGGGGGGGGGGGGGGGGGGTTGTGAGGATGAAATAAGAACTCAGAACTGGGAGTGCTCCATTTGAGGGGAAGAAGTGAAGTGACGCCAAAGTGGAGAAGGCAGTACCCCTTTATTTGCAATCCCTCCCCGTTCTGTCCCTTTTTCTGCACGGTCTTGCAAGCAAGGCTGGCTTAAGCCAGTGGTTTGGGATGGGGGCAA